CAATGACTTATTTAATATTAATTTATAAATAAAATAGCAAATAGAAAACATAATATATTAAAATGGGCAATTTCTAATAATATTGATTGATAAAAAATTTACCGCGTAATAAATACAAATATATAATGATAATATAATAACATTAATGATAATTGAAGAAATAGGTAATACCAAATATAATAATAATAAATTATAATAGATTATATATATATTTATTATTATATTCAAATGGCAATGTATAACCCTTCAAAAGCAATTGCTTTAAATTTTTCTTTTTACAAGGGAACCTGAAAACCACCTGAACATTTCTTGGTTCTTTTTCGTCTGTCTGCGTTCTGTCTGGTTCTGGACGTTTGACAAAACATAAAACCTTTCTGAAAATAACTTGATAACTGAGCGGTTTTATTATCACTTTTTATATGTGTAGGAAAACCACCATTCCTTCCATAATGAAATCATAGACATATAAACATGGTAATAACATGTATATAATGTCTATGGATGCACTTTAGGAAGCGGAGTGACCCTGTTCCAAGATTAATTATGTGATTTAATCATATTCAATTATTATTGTTGTCTATTTGTATATTATTTTATTTAATATTATATTATATGTATATTATAATTAACATCACTATTCTTGTTATGATTATTAGACATAGGATCCTGCTGTTTCCACGAGATTCTCTGCTATGACTTTGATCTTTTTCAATTCAAAATCTTCTGTCAAGAAGCGTCTGCTGAGAACATTTAAAGTAGGGATTTGTATTTGGGTAGTAAAAGCGCATTTTTAAATTATCAAGGCAACCCTGTATCATAAGGCTACATTGTGTGACGTTTTTAACAAACTTCAATAGGTTTGGAATAATCGGCTTTCCAAATTCAAGAAGCAATTAATTCTACATGGAGATTGAGGGCAGTTCCTACTTTCCTTCGTTACGGTTTTGATGTTCCCTTCTTTGCCTCTGCCTACCTGTTCCAACAGATGGGCCCGCCTGTACGGCACGGCCGCTCTAGTGGGCGGCAGCAGTCGATGAGGCGTCTATGTGTATATGTCTATGGGTGTGTACCCCATGACGCACGAGCCTGTTGTGAGCTCGGATTGGCCGGAGTTTGACCCTGCATTAGCCTATCCTGCTTGTAGTTTGTTGGAACTTTTCAGATCAAGACGAAGTTATTGTATCATCGGTGAGTCAGACTTCCTTCGTTGCCCCTTTTTTCTGTTTTTTTTTTGTGGTTTCAGCTCCAAATCGAGATGATTCAATTTGGTTTGCTTCTGCTCTTGTGTCATGTTGCATCTACAGGTAAGATCATTTAAAATCTTATTGTATTGTAATGTGTTAGTGGTGGCAACAGTTTGTTTTGACAGTGTCATTAAGTATTCACACTTAGTCAGTATTTTAGTAATGGTTAATTAAATGGGAAAGCATAAGAAGAGGAAAGGAAGTTGCTTTCGGTTTTGCATTTGGAGAATAAAGTCCTCCCTCTCTCGCAACCATCTGTGTGCCCATTGTCCGTGCCTCTGTCAGCGCGCACTGGATGCGAGTCTGGATGACTTCTGTGTCGTTGTTTGTTCTGGAAGCTTCACCGCACAACCACTGATGGCTTCAGAGTGTGTTGGGACCTTTGTTGCGGTAACCTTCAGGATCAATCACCGTGATCAACTATTGTCTTGTGATACAACGCATCCTCTCTGCAATGCACACAGGTGTGACCATTGATACGCACGCGCATCACTTTGGTGCCCACCTGAGCAGCGCGTGACAGCCGCGTCTGGCACGTGCGCCGTGTTTACAGCGACAGCGTGTCAGCTGCTGTCTGTCTGTCTGTCCCAGCGCTGTTCTAAGACTTTATTCCTGACAAAAGTGAGAGTGTCTCCTCACAGACACACATGATTTTAAACAAGGCGATGATTATCTAGTCTCTTAGTCAAGGGTTGGTTAGCTCTGTATTGTGAGATGGAAAGCAATGGAGGATTGACATTGACTAACTATTGAAATTAAAATGCAATGGAAATATGGTCGCAGATCGCTCAGTAAATAATAACCATCGAGTATTCAGTCATGCCTTTGTCTAAATTGAAGTAGTATTTAAAGGAAATCTTGCAGTTTGAATGGACCTAATGCAGATATTCTGAGACCTAAAGCTGCAGTCAGAGCCTGTGGACTTATTGTAAGCTAACTGTATAATATTGTGAAGAAGTGGACTAATTACCGGGCAGCAGAGCCAGATCTCAGTTTTTAGTTCTTTATTATTTTCCAAATTTTATATTTTCTACAATTTTACCTCGGGCCCCTGGTTTCAACCATGGTGTGCTGTGCTTGTGTGTAGTCTCAGTGTTTCTGTCAGTGTCATTAATTTGAGAGGACAGGAGGAAGGACTGGCACTGACTGTGTGTTTTATTTTATTTTACTGGCAGTTTATTTATTATATTTTACTGTAAAAGTTTTAGTTTATATAATGACTTTGCTGATGTTACTGCTGCTTCTCTGGAAACAATATTTATAGCTTATACTTCAAGTTCAGTTTTTCCTGCTAGTATGGAGGTCACATCTGAATGTATGAGGCAGTAATATGTTCGAATGCTTCTTTTGATAAAAGTCTGTCAACTTTATTCTCAACAAATATTTGCAATCATCCTGAGCTCTGGGCATAATTTTGTTTTCAGAATAAATGCATTTTACACAGAATAATCACAGATACTGAATGGTGTGTTAGAAGATTTATGGATTTTTCTCTTGACTGTTATATAATAAGTAAACATTTTTAAATATGTATTTATATTTATGTATAATGTCTAAACTCAGAATAGGCCTGAGGTAATAAGTTGATGCTGCAGTTTCTTCAAATCATTGAAAAAATTAAATGATTAAGGTGACCATTTGATCAGTTAATCATATTTTAATGATGATAGAAAGTTTTCAGTGTATTTTTACCTGATGTGTTTGTATTTCTTTTTAAGAATGAATTAATAACAACTCAATGTTGTTACAGGAAACATGTAAATATGCAGAAGCAAATAGATGTCTAAACCCCAAACACATACGTTAGCTTTTTTGTAAAATGATACAGTGCTAAAATTTGGAAGCCTTAACGCTTTATTTTACTGCCTCTCTCTACAGTGATACACTCCCTGAAGCATGTCTACACTGCATCCTCTGAGGTCCCAAATTATCCCAACTTTGTGGCCGTTGTGTTTGTTGATGGAACTCAAACAGATTACTACGACAGCATCACTAAGAAAACAGTACCGACACAAGCCTGGATGAACCAAGTCACAGCCTACGACTCAGAGTACTGGAAGAGACAAACTTCATACTGGGAAGGTCAAGAGGAGGCAGGAAGAGTCAACATCGAGATTTTAAAGAGCCGATTTAACCAAAGTAAAGGTGTGTTCACTCAGTGTTTCACTTCTTACTGCTAAGAGGGGTTTTAGCTATGTTAGCAGTACACAGTAGGTGATTGGAAAAGGGATGAGAGGGAATGCCATCTCCCTTGTTAACTTTGTTAACAGTCTGCCTCAGTCATTGATCCCTAACCAGAAAACTTAATTATTATTTTAATTTATATTATTATTCAACATAATTAGTTACACTACTAGTTACATTACTTTCTGCTACTCCACACAAAATTGGTAATGGTAACAAAAATGATATTGCAAAAATATTGAGGATACTTATTTATGGGGGTCACACTGGGCTCTCACTCACTGATACCGAAGCACAATACTTGCCAACACCCGCTCCCTCTGTAGATAAAAATGTCTTTGGTGATTATACACTAATGAAAACACACCTATGGATATTATATTCCATTTCTGATAGTAGGTCCTCCTCAATGTTTCACACTGGACTTAATTAAATTATTGCTCTTTAATAATGTAAATATGTTTATAATTATACTGCTTTTATTTATTTATGTAGTTATTGTAAGTTAAAGCTGCAGCTGAAATAATGTAATGCTTTTTTTCTATTATTTATTTATCCTCTTTAATATTGTGATCTGGTTTACATTTCTATTACTATACTTGTATTATTTCTTCTCTGCTTTTAAAATCCACTCTTGACTCGATACGTTTACTGAAGTCTGTTTCCACCCCTCTATCAGGCATCCAGGTTATCCAGGTGTTGAATGGCTGTGAATGGGACGATGAAACTGGTGATGTTAATGGTTTTGGTCTAATTAGTTATAATGGAGAAGACATCTTAATATTGGACATGAAGGCACAGAGATGGATTGCTACAAAGCCACAGCTTCTTAGAAGCCAGCATAAGTGGAATAATGACAAAAGTTGGTTAGAATTCATGGAGCACCGTTTGACCAAGGAGTGTCCTGTGAGGCTGCAGAACAGTTTGGACTACGGGAAGAGCACTTTTCAGAGAACAGGTAAAAGTAGGTGGTAAATTTGGTATCAAATATGCTCAACTAGTATGAATCTTTTTGAATCTCCAATCAAATCTATTTGATTGCTTGTGTGTGTGGAGATCTGTGTGTGTGCCTCAGCAGCCACTCCCCCTTCCGTATGACTAAAGCCCTGAGGTCATAAGTAACGTACAGTAGTTTGGAAAATGAACGTGTACC